AAAAAAAAACAAAAACAAAAACATCCGCAAGTTAGCACCAGTCGTGCAACATTTCTCAGAAGAGTGAAAGTGACTATAAAATTCATCTCATAAAGACCACAGCGACGTAGTCAAGACGCACATCTTCGGTCTGGCAGGACAAAGAGGAATAAACGCTTTTCTTTTCCGGGGAACTGAAAAACTGAACCCAAAGGAAGCGAAACTGGACCTCATCAGTGCGACGTTGCTTGATTAAGAGTATTTAAAATATAGAATATACAAAAGTAAAAGATCGAGTATGTACTGCTGAGATGGCCTTATGCGTCTGAAGCAGCTATGGCATACATCACGAACTAAAAATTATTTAGAAAGATTTTACCCAATCTCCGATCTGCTTCAGTCGCCATTGCTCCCATTTGATTAGCATTTCACAGACATCAATTGTTAAGCGACGATTTTCCAGATTACTCTGCGTCACCATCAATCGTTGCGCAGCATTCAGGATTGCTTGAATCAGTTGATGACGTACGTGGTAGTAAATTTTATACTGCCGAATGATCATTGATCTGGAAAAAAAACAACCATTTTTCGGAAAAATTTTACTGACCCATACCAAAGACAAATAGCAACGCGCACCAGACTAGCCGGTGCGGTCATACCTTTCATGCAATTCAGTCCATCGAACGATTGCCTATTAATGATTTTCACTGCTTTGTACTTTCGTCTATGTAAAAATAGTTTAACAATTGGAAAATAGTTCTTTTATACTGTACTTTTTACACCAATTTTTTTACAGTACATTTCACACGCACAGACAACCCCGTAATAATATGCGTTTTGTACTACTGTTACACAGCACAAAACGCATAAAAACTATTGTCGAACAAATGCTACTCACTATTTTTTAAAAGAAATGCTCTTTTTTATTGTACTTTTCACAGCAATTAGTTCTTTTACAGTAAATCCCTTTTACTTAAATCAAACATATTTTTGGGATTTTAGAAAAACAAAGTCGTCCAAGCAATCAATGTGCTTATTCCATCTAAATGATGTTACTAGGATTCTCCCGCATGCTGGACTCAGCTATGTCTCAACCCTCCCACTTAGTATTCACCGCCAATCCTACGTATGCGCGTCATTTTTTTTTTAGCGATCGCTCTAGTGGTCGTTTACTTTCTCGTTGATAAAACCGAATGTTATAAGTAAAATATGGTTCAGAAAATGAGGAAAGAATATGTCTGTTGATACATCTGGCACACTGTAAACCAAACGGAGTAGCATCTATATCCTGCTAGTTTTAAACATGAAAGTGCCATATCGTTGTGATGAACAGAGAGAGAGGGGGAAGGAAGGAATGCTTAGCATGAGATGATAATGATTAACATAAATCACGGTTATCTCAAAAAATCTGAAGCTTCGCCAGGTGCTTCTGTCGGGTGAATTGCTGAGCTGAGATAATCTCTTCAAGAGACAAAACGAACGCGATGGTCGTCAGCAGGGTAAATTACTAGTCGTTAAGTAGCGAAAGATCTCCGGAGGCACTCGTAC